ATAATTCATTTGAATCAAAGGTTTGGAGATACGCTAAGACTTCTCACCAAAACCTCTTGAATGTTTACCTGCCCAAACCTCTTTTTATCACTTTCGCCTTTATAATCATATTATGCTTTTGTTCTAATTGTGCATCCTCTCCTACTTACTTCTATATCTATACCAACAATAGCTTACTATTAACATGAGGTCAAAACATCCATTAACATATTGTCCTTATCCAATAGGAAAAGAAAAAGACTTAAAATAGTTAGACATTTACATCATGTTGAAGCTGGGTTAGCTCTAGATCAGCTTTTAACGTAGGCAAATCTACTGTGTTCAATATAACAAAAAATATAATAAAATCTGTAGAGCTATAATATACACTATTTTTCTCTACCATAACAATATTAGAAATGCAGCTGTAGAAAATATGGAAAATGTATTTTCAGTGCTAAGAGAAGACCAGACTAAAAAGAAAATGCATTTGAGTACTGAAGTTCTCTAGAATAAGGGCCTAAAAATGTTTGTATACATTTGTCAATGTATTTGGACTACTAAATTTGAGCCCATACACCACAACCACCTTTTTTCTACTCATTGTCTTGCCTTATATGAATTTGCTTTTTGTGAGGTTTTAGAGGCATGTAACTCTAACCTAAGTGGATTAGAGATTTGGAGATGTTAAATATGGCACAAGATGATTTGTGAATTGTGCCAGCCTTTTTCATGGAGGTCTCAGAATTCTTTTAGAAAAGATTATTTCTGCATATGTGGAGAGGATGTTGAATGAACGTTATCAGTTTAAGAAAACAACAAAATGTACAAAAAAATAATCAATAAATTCATGTATTATCTCTGGTCAAGTAGGGGTCATTTGGTCAAGTAGTTAGTTAGTTAGTTAGTTAGTTAATTATATTTATATACCGCCCTTCTCCCAAGGGACTCAGGGCGGTGAACAGCCATGGTAAAAACAATGTACAACAAAAATTAAAAGCTTATTAAAATAATTTAATCATTCGGCCAAATTTAAAACATCCAACTAAAGTCATTTTAAAACCCCTATCAAAACCCAATTTAAAAAACCTTTATCCTGTCAGACCAGCTTGCTGGAATAATAGAGTCTTCAGAGCGCGACGGAAGGCACGGAGGTCAGGGATCCTTCGTATGTCCGGGGGCAGTTCATTCCATAGGGCCGGGGGCCCCCACAGAATTACCAATAGCAAAAACCTTTCTCTCCTTTCAAGCTAGACAATAGTATAATACTTGCAGGATACCAAAGGACACTGAAAGCACTTCAGATATGTAGGAGGTTCAATCACACTCTTATCTCTGTCATACACTTATCTTTATCTCTAGGCAGATCTTTCAGGGAAATCAAGGTAGTTTCCATTGCATTCCACTAGCCACAGGGTTGGGTTATTTATATTCTTAATCCATTTAATTCAAAAGTCCCCAACATTGCCTAACCATTACAAACCAGATTTCCATATCCAGGAACAGACCATTTAAAAGCAGTTCCTAATTCTCCAGTTTTTACGAGTCTTAATCATATAACTTTCTTACAGGATTTTTTACAGGGTTGGGAAATGCTCATTCTCAAATACAAATATATACTGCTCCATGGATAATTATTGTTTACCACAAATAATAAAACCAGACCAATTAACAGCAAAAATGCTATTAGTGTATTAATCCAAAGGAGTTATCCATATACAAAACAGGGAGAACAAGGCTCACACACAGCTTCCACATTCCCATTTTTACAGCTAGACCAGGGGTCGCCAACCTTTCGAACCTCAGGAACCACTAAATTAATAATTTTAAATCCCGCAGACCACTAATATGAATTTTTTAAAAAGATAAATAGTATTTTGTGCAATATAAAAAATGCAAATAATTTTTCTGCGGACCACCAAAATTTTCTTAGACCACCAGTTGGTGATCGCTGATCTAGACCATTTAGAACTTAGGAGGCCTAGAGCCAATTTTGTGTAGTTGTTAAGGTACCAGACTAGAAACCAGGAAACAGTATATTCTAGTCCTGCCTTAGCCATGAAGCCTTAGAGCAGTCCCTCTCCCTCAGCCCTTGGAAGCAGGCAACGGCAAACTACTTCTAAAAAACGATGCCAAGAAAACTACAGTTGCCAGGAATCAAAAATGGACTCAAAAGAGCGCTGACATATGCATGCACACACACACACAAACTCCTTACCATAAAATCACATTATTAACATTTGACAATAAATTGATGGTTTATTAACACACTGTTTATATTTGATAATAAACTAATGTTTTCCTGCTTTAAAAAAGACATTAAAATATTTTGTGTTATATTCCCCAAGTGTTATTTTATCGATTCTTCAAAATAAATAAATAATAACTGTTCAAGATGTTACCTCTGTTTTCCCTGGTGGTATTTTTATGCCATCAAATAAATAAAAGTAAAATTATGCCCCCAATTGCAAAATTGATGTCCATGTCTAAGGCGCCTGATGACCGATCATCCTATCATATTTAAATAATGCACCTCTGAATACATTAGTTGGCCATGACTTGTAGTAGAAGGCAATTCTTATTAAGCGATCTACAACTCAAGTGGCATCCAAATTGGGAGTCCATGTCTGATGCTTCACCTGTAAAACACTGCAAAACACTTGTTCACATTCCTCCAAGCTCTGAGACTCTTAATAGTGTTAGCCAGACATAAAAGACCTGCTCTTCTAAATGCCATTGTGTGTGTGCTGTACAGATGGGAGATTCTTTTTGTTGCCAGCAGAGCCACTGAATACACCTTCAAATGGCCGCTAGCCTATTTTCATTCATATTTATTCTGAGTTTCCTGCCAACATTGCTCAACCAGTCAGCCCTGCTGCTTCACTGGCAGCAAACAGTTCTCCGAAATACCAGGAAAATACATGGGCTCTTGCACAGAAGAGAAGGGCTTGGAAAGCAGGCTGTCAGCTACCTGAATTAGTTCCCCATTCCAAAGACCAATAACAATTTTAACAAAATACACAGCTGGGTTGGCTAAAATCTGGCAGCAATTTAGAAAGTATCCATATCAAAGCCAATTTAGGAGGCACACCATCTCAGAAAAAAAGCCACAGAAACCAAACTTCTTCATCAGACTGGAGAAATGTTCTTGAAATTTGCACAATCCAAAAGCAATTTCACAATACAAAACAACACAGAGTATTAAATCCAAAAGAAGAAAAGCCATATGTTATGGGCCTGTTTCTATGAAGCATTTTATTTTTCTTAAGAATATACATAAAAACCATGGCAATTCTTACATATTAGGATTTCAGGCCCAAGACCCTTAAAACAGAAAGAAATCTAATAATGCCATTCTATATTGTTAAATTCACCAAGCTTGGAAGCAACCATAAAGGAAATAATATTTTAAAAAGAGGGAGGGGTTGCTAAATCGTGACAAAGGAAAAGTTAGATGGGGAAAAGTATGCCAAAATTTCACCTTATAGCAGTATCCATTGGAATATTAGCTATTTCTTGAACAGGCCCATGTTATGATGTAGGAACCTTTCTAGTTAGAATTATATCTTTAAGGAAGTACAGCCTAGGATTCATTTTTAACACAGGCATGCATTTGGTAACCTAGTTCTTAAATATTAAATAGGTTGTTGCTACCTATCATAGGTAACTCACATCCCCTGTAATGGTCCATTCCCACTAGAGTGGACCATTACTAGAACAATGAACTGAAGTGCATTAAGACCCTTTACAGGCAAAATGTATTAAATTAACAAAGGATAATCATAACGCACTATTTAGCCCCATGTCACATCATCCTTTATACATAGAGTTATAGACAGTGTCTATTCATCATAACATTAAATACAAAATTTGAATTTGCAAAATGAAATGTGACTTTGGCGCCAGTGTTAACTGACAGTTTATGACATACCAGTCAGGCACTTATTTTACCCAAGATCCTTAACTTTAGCCTATTAGTAGCTTAAAAAATATTGACTGAAGAATGAAGGAACTGTGAGACAAAAGTTACTGACTACTAAGGGCTTCACAGAAATATATCCAAGGTCCATCAGATACAACATTGCTTGTCACAATGCCCAAATAAATGCTTTTAGAAAGCTCATAAGTAGAACATGAGGCTAATAGTGATTTCTTATTAAAGCTCCCCAGCAACTGGTGGTTACTGGTAGACTGCTTCAAAATTCGGAGGATCTATTCACTATAATTTGTAATCATCTAAGAAGTTCTTAACGTTTAAACTAAATTAAATAATCGTTTTAAGTATATTTTTCCCTGTTTCAAAATGTAGTCATTCTTGCTACCTAACAGCTATTCACTTTTTTGTGGGCCCACAGTAGATAATCACAATGCACACTAAAAGCAGATGGTATGATTCTATTCTTAAGTATCAGGATATAAGCATTTTGTACCTGAATGGATACTACAAAATGTGTCATTCTTTTTAACATATAACATAACGTATTCTTTTTAATATATATCATCAGGCTCTCCACAAATTAATACTACGGTAGGTATGTATGAACAGATACCATATTTTTCTATCTGAAAGTTGCAATGAATTTTTTTGAAATAAGTCTCTGTGTCATCCATGAGCATAAGTATGGTTGGAGTTACAGTTCACTGTATACAGTGTATACAGTGAATATCAACCATTTCATTCTGATAATGATCAGTGTTCAATATTATTATGAAAGAGGTGGGGATAGTGTCATTGTCAGCCAAGATAAGGAAGAAACAGAAGTAAAAGGGGAGCGGTGTTAAGGAAAAAACGTATTTCTTCTTAAGTTTTTAAAAAAATTAAATTGATTTAACTTTCAGAAAAGTTGGTAATAATCTAGAAAAAAAATTAACAGGCAACATATTTAAAAAAAACTCGCAGAATAAAGTTTAAAAGCTCACCTCTCTCCTTTACGTTATATTTATATAATATAAATTCCAAATAGAGCACCCCTTTAAACAAACGCTTAAAAAAGCACCATTATTCATTCTCTTGTACTCACCCTTTGCAGGAGAATTCAACGATCCAAATTCATAAGCGCAGAGGGGAAAAGAGGGGGGGGGGCTAAAAGATTAAAAAGGGGGTGGAGGAAACAAGGAAACGGGGGAAGGGGGAATAACAAGAAAAAGAAGATAAGACAACGGGGAGACTTAAACAGCGGGGCAGGAATGTGATAAGAAGACGGGAAGGGGCGATCCACGCTGCTAAGGACTAATGTATAGACGGCCGAGGGATTCAAGCGGCTTCTGCTCTATCCCATCACTTTGCTGAAGCCTCTGCCAAACAGGGAGGCTGGCTGGGAGGGAAGTTGGTACTGCAGCTGGAAAGAAGGATGTGACACCGTAACAAGTACAACCAGCTAGCCAGGAGGAGGAGGAGGAGGAGGAGGAGGAAGAGGAGAGACCTTGAGGAGCCGAAGCAGCCCGTGCCCTGGGAGGGCGGAGGCAAGAGAAGCAGGAGGAGCCCCGTGCTCTGGGAGCAGAAGCGACGGCGGCAGCGCTAACACCGCATGTCCGCCTGCACAAGGCATTTAATGGGATTGATGGGTTGTGCAGTCAGTGACTCACAGACTTTTGAGTTAGACACAGGAGGAGGTGGAGAGGGAACCCCGCCCACCGCTCTCCAGGGGCCCTATGTCAAAGCCAACTGGCACGGAGTGACGGCCCTACCCACCAATGCCTAGGCCGCTCTTTGCTTAAAGGCCGAGGGAGGGGGGTTTCCCTGCCCCTTTTCGCTCAATGAGTCTTCTGAGGACACTGCTGCGGAACGGCGGGGCGGAGGGGGGTTGAAAAGGAAGAGAGGGTTGGAGAATCTGGCCAGGGAGAGCAGCGGGGGAGGGATTCTCCCCCCCCTTTTCTATCCCTGGTTTGTCCAAAATGGGCCAATCCCAGTAGCATTCGTTTGATAGACAAGATAGGGCCGCCCAACGTGTGTGTGTGTGTGTGTGTGTGTGTGTGTGTGTGTGTGTGTCCCCCTCCACGTCCCTCTGGGCTGATCCGGCTCCCTCGGACTGGCCTGGGAGCCCCCTGGGTATTGCCCAAGGGACGGGGGCTAGAATCGCGTAAATTCCTCCCCCCTCCTGGGGGAAGGATATTGCAAAATTTCCATTCCCACCCCACTCGGGGGCCAGCCAGAGGGGGTATTTGCCGGTTCCCCAAACTACTCAAAATTTCTGCTACCGATTCTCCAGAACTGTCAGAACCTGCTGGATTTCACCCCTGGTTCATGGACCACGGATTGGACATGCCTGGTGTAATCAGTGGCAACAGTCCATAGGTTTACAAATAAACCTGTATCAGTTTATTTGAATTAACACTCATTGCCTGGGTGATCAAATAATCTTGCCTGCTAGTACTTACAATGTGGTAATTGTTTATAAAGTTTATAAAAGCAAAGAGATGTGATAGGCTAATTTAATTAATTAATGCTTTTTATTGTATAAAAAAAATCCAGAAATACTGTAAAAATATCACCTTTATTTATCAAGTCAAGCTTGACACCTGGTGACTTCATGAACATATCCATACTGTACAATATTGTTTTCTTGGTAACAAAATCAAAATGGTTTGCCACTGCCTTCTTTAGGAGGGTTTTTGACTTCTCAATTTAATCTATAGTCCCGGATTTTCTAATGGTCTCCCATCAAAATACTAATGGGGTTTGATTCTGCTTAATTTGCTTGTTTTTCCAAAATCAGTTATTTGCTATAAGTTTCAGTTTGATTGGGATTGGCTTTACATATCCTGCATCCAGCATGGCAGGACTCTGTTGTGAACTTAGATGCAATTGGTCATATTGTTATGTAATATGCAAATTGTATAATTTTTTTTTAATCTCTTCTCACCAAAACTCCTGTGTTTCTTTGGGGGCAATATTGTAGAGTTGTGAGTGCACACATGTCCATGGAGTTGGGAAAAAATACAATTTCTTATGTACTGAAGCATGGACCACGATAACACTGATCAAACGTGTGTATGGTTTCCCTACTGCGTGAAAGAACACCTTTATCACAAGAGTTAATAACATGGCATCTCTAACATACTGTACCTATGTGGCATCTGTATCTTGCCATTATTAAATTTAAAAAAATATAATTGGCAGAAATTTCATGGGAACTCCAAATAAGTACTGGTGGAATACCATGGGAATTCTTGTGCAAGTCATGAGATTTCAAGAACTAGATGGGGTGTTTTGTTTTGTTTTTTGTTTCTTTAAAAAAGGAAGTTGGGTTATTCTACAAAATCACACAATAGAGACAACCCCTATTGTACTTCATGTTGCTCAGAATCTGCAGGGTTTTATAGTGGTATATATAGAAAATCCTCAGTACTTTTGTGACCAGTAGGCACATTTGGATGTTTAAGATTGTTGTAAATGCTCTCATAAAATGATTGCTATAAGAAGGCATGTCTGTTTGCAAAACATCTGCCATGATGGACATGACCAGTCATAAAATACCTGTTTACTAAAAGCTAAATTGGTGCAGTTCTTATTACAGAATTACAGAGTTGGGAGGTACCTTGGAGGTCTAGTCCCACTCCCTGGTCAAGCAGGAGAGCCTATACCATTCTGGATAAATGACTGACCAGTTTCTTCTTAAAAACCTTCAGTGATGGAGCAGCCCCTGAGATATTGGAACATTGCTATCATGTCACCCTTAGTCCCCCTTTTCTATACATTCCCAATTTCTGCAACCATTCTTCAAATGTTTTAGCCTCCAGTCCCATAATCTTTTTTGTTCTTCTCTGCACTCTGTCTAGATCCATAATTCTTCCATGTTTTCTTCTCCCATACTTTGTATAAGGGACTTAAAAGCATTTCTAAATAAAAAGTTGATGGTTGAGGGTAGAACTATATTTTTTAAAAAGCGTGCAAGGGGTCTGGTGGGTCCAAAGGCTGTATCCAGGGGCATAGTGATGCACATGAATATCATATAAGACTAGATCTAAATAGGACTACTGTATAAATTAATACTATATAAATAATCCTTGATTTACAATCATTTGTTTAGTGACCATTCAAAGTTACAGTAGCATTAAAAAAGTAACTTATGACCAGTTCTCACAGTGAACACCTATCACAGCATCCCCAAAATCATGTGATCAGAACTTGGGCGCTTAGCAACCCACATGTATTTGCAATGAATGCAGTGTCCTGGGGTCATGTGATCACTATTTGTTACCGTTTCTGATAAGCAAATTAAATGAGAGAAGCCAGATTTGCTTAATGATTGCGTAATTCATTTAACTGCAGTGAATTGATTAATAATCATGGCAAAAAAAAAGTTATAAAATCAGGCACAACTCACTTAACCACCGCCTTGCATAGCAACAGAAATTGTGGTCATAACTCAAGGACAACCTGTATATGTTTACACAGAAACTCCATGGAATTTGGAAGTCTTCAGTTATGAGTTAAGTATGCATAGCACTTTTCATTGATTCTCCAGTCAGTTAAGCTTGAATAAATTTGCATATCATCACATTCTCACTGCAGATGCTTTTTTAAAGGATGAGATGTTTCAATTTAATAACAAAGTATGTCATCCCTTGTGATAAAAAGACAACCATTCTCTTTTCTATTTCACACTTGAACCAACATAAACTTCAGAATGTGCAAGTAAATGTTAGGCTGATTTGGGGAAATTTCTCTGGGATAATTAATGAACTAAAACAGCTTTCTCCAACTCAATGCCTGAGGATTTATAATATTTATATAGCCGCTCATTTATATCAAACTATGGGTGTCTCCCAGTCAACAATTAAAACATCATTTATTTCCTATTTAACACATTGTTAGTATCTGCATATTGTAGAAAAACAGTCGAACTGGCAATCTTTTTATTAATACAATAGTGGCTGCATTAATTCCTTAATAGGTACCCTGGGGAAAATAGGTGATTTTCTAATAAAATTTTTGCTAGAATTTTGCTAGCTGTTATACATTCCTCTTATTGGTATTTTGTGGAAATCCTTATGTGTTTGTCTTTGTGACATTATTTCTATATTTTCTACTTTTATTTCTGGGGGTCTTTACAAATCAGAAAACTGTTAGGCAGCAGTTGGTAGAGCAAGTTTGATCACCTTCATTTTTGTACCAGGATATCTGTAAAATCATATTAAATAATACTTTTAAAAGTTGAAATTCTGTGTACTGTATGTACTTACTTCTGAGTAAGAACACTCTAGTATCTTTTCTGTATGAGAAACATTGTTAGGGGTTAGACTGGAGAGTATGGAGCTTGGTGGGGTTTTTTCCTCATTTTGAATCCTAGTTTTTATCTTTTGGGTAATTAAGACTTTGAGTGGAAAAGAAGGGATTCACTAATACCAACAGAAGATGTGAAAGACCCAAAGTATCTGCTGGAAGAAATAAAAGGGAAGAATGGGAGAAGTGAATGAAATGCACTAAAGCTGAGAGCAAGGAAACCGTCTTCTGCTAAAATTACACAGGAAGGAAAGTTTGCCTTGAGAAGGAGGGGAGGTGTCTCCCAGACAATTATGTAAGTCAGATAATAAGCAGGGCAAGGACACTGGGAATGCAGAAAGAAGGGGGAGAGGGCCAGGAGAAAGGTGGAGGAAATGGGGGTGGGGACCAGACAGATTGCCATAAAGAGAAAGTCTTAGATCAAAGGAGAAAAGGTAGCATTAGGAAAGTCTGTTTTAGAAAGCCTCTAGCAATAGGAAGGGATGAGCAGTTTTCTGCAGTGAGTACTGTATTGGCAGGCCAACTGCTCTTTTTACAGCCCTAGCTCTCTGCTGCCTTCACAGAGAAAGGTTGAGTTGAGCAGACTCCTTCTCAACTCACGGATGGTGAAATTATTTGGAATTTCATTTGGGTGCACAACAAATTGCTTCCTAATTGCTGAAATGTGCATGCTGGAAACATATTTTGAAGCACACATCATTTATTACACATCTGTGATATCTGATATAAGTAGGCCGGTCATATCAAAGCTTGGAACTAGTATATTTTGCTCTCAGTATGCTACAGATTCACTAGTGGTACTGAAACAATACCAGATACCATCATATTGGAGACTGCCAGACACAGTTGGAAGCTGACAGTGGCATCAAAAACATGGATGCAAGTGCAATACAGATCCTTGCAAAAATGAAATCATAAGTAAGCATAATTTATGGTTGATTTACCCCTAAAAAACTGTAACATTAACATGTGTGTCAAACATGGCACAGACCAACTAAAAAAAAAATATCTAAATATAGAAGTATGTTTAGAGAAGTGTTTATAAAAGCTATAAATAATGCTGAAACATTTTATTGTCTCGTACAAGTAGGAATACCCAGTCAATATATAACAAAGAACTTGACAAATTCTGCTCTTAAATTCCAAGTGGCCGTAGTAAAGAGACTATTCAGTTAATAACTTTTTCTTCATAGCCACTCAGGAGAAACAGTTTTGTACTTTGTTTAGGACCACTGAACTTAAAAAGTGAGTTTCCACATGGTTTCTCATGAACTCAACGGAACTGAACATATTAAATTTTTTTTAGATTGTACATTGCACTGGGGAAATCT